ACTTGAAACTTAATGACCCACTTAAAATTACCAAATTATTATTTTTTGAAAAAAATATTACAACACTTAGATCTTACCTTTATATGATATCGGTTCAATCTCGTGATGTTAATTTTTCCAAGAACATATAAATCACAATTTGCTTTCTTCTTTTTTTTTGTTTTGGGTTAGTTACTAGGTTGAAGAAGTTACGACCCTAAATTTTAAAGGGCAGTGATCTAATGCAACGGTTGTATCATAGTATAATGAACCACACTTCTAGAAACCATGTTAGTGTTATTTGTATGACTCAAAATTTTACACACACACTCTCTTCATCTCAAAAATCAATCCCCCAAAAACAAGAGTTCAATTTGAACCCTAGATAATGTCAAAATGAGTCTTTTCCAACAACGAATCTAGATCGTTCATTTGGTGAATTTCAAGATCTTAACCTTTACAAACTCAAAATCATTTTTTATTTTTTAACATTGTTCATCTAATGATAGTAAAGCCATCTAATTGGAAAAGAAAAAATCCTTATTAGGCCTAAATCTAAGCATCTTATCAAAATGGATGGCTTATGTTGATTGGGCTAAAAAAATACTTTTAAGGTTGTGTTTTCAATTTTTTTTTTTTGTGATTGTTCATTAGAATGAAAAAAGTGTATATTTAGAAATTTGGATCAAACAAATGGCTCTAATATGATTTTTGAAGATTATTGCATTATATTACTATATAACCGTTATATGAAATCACTGCCCTATTTTAAAATCTTCAAAATTAATTTTTACCCTGAAGGGTAAATGGACAATATACTTCCATACGAGTGCAAAACCTTCTCTCAAATTCCGAAATATTTTTCTCCCTATTTATGTTGACAACTTATATTTTGCTTTCTATTTGGAAGGTCAGGAAATGATACGTGAGTTCCCTAGTAATATGAAAAGTAGTTTGTGCCTCAAGGGACACACTTCTACAATAGTGTTCCTGACACATGTAATGTCCATCTTGGAGAAGGATGTTAGAAAAAGTAGCCCTACGAAACACCAAAATCAACGGGTATTAAAACTATGTCAAAATTTTTATTTTTATTTTTAATATTTTTCAGATTTCTATTCATTATGGTTGAGATTTTCATTCTCTAAAATTTTGAATCCAAAATCCATCTTTAAAATAAAGTTTAGAAAGAAGACTCATTTAAATAGGTGACAACCGACTCATGGAAACCGTGTTCATTACAATATGCCAAAAGATATTATGCCACTCCCTTGAGAGTAGAATGGATATTTAAAGTTCAAAAAATAATGTAGATCAAACAAATATATGGACACCTGAAAATCTTGAAAATTGATGGTCTAGAAAATACATTACAAGAAACACTATTTCCAAGACTTAAAGTCGTTTTTTTTACATGCATATATCTCAAGATCGAGATGATTGGATTTTAGGCTTTTAGTTTGATTATTTAGGGCTTCAACCTTGTATAAAGCTTTTTCTAAAAATTTTTCTAATTGTACCTCTATTCACTTTAAAAAACACTAGTTGTATGCACCTGCGTTGGAGGTATATTAAAATGTTATGCATGTAATATATTTTTTAATGCTATTTTATAAGTAAAATAAATTTGTAAAATCTAAAATGAAAACATAAAATGAAATAAAATTTAAAATAAATTCCACAATGAAATAAAAATAATAGTTTCTCATACATATATGGAGAAAGCAAAAGAGAAATGGAATACTTTTCATAGCGAAAGAGAGATGAAATATTTTTCATAAGCAAACAACAATAATTGAAATTCTATTTGTTTGAATTGACATAAATTTAGTGAAATGAATAAATTATTTACGCATTATACTAAATAACACATAAAAATTTAATATATCAAATTAAGTAACATAGAAAGGATATTATTATGATTATTAATTTAATTATAGTAATATTTATTACTTATAAAAATAAATTTATACTATAGAATTATTCATGTGTTATTAAAATAGATTGATATGGAAAACTTTGAACAATAGATTAATATTATTTAATTAAAATTCTAGTGGTATAATATAATTGTTGTATCTATAACTAATCAAACTATATTTAATACCATTATACCAAACGAATTATATTATTCATGAACATATACTACTGATATTTATAATATTGACCAAAAGTATCTCCGAAAATAAAGCTAATGTGGAATATATTTGTATAGTACTATTATTATTAATATATAGTTACATTTATAATAATACAATCTATAACTATAATTATTTGTATAATAAATATAATATGCAATCAAATATTACAATTATAATTTTGCTATTTTAATAATAATAATACTTATTTTGTTATGAATATTATAATAGTTATGAATTATAACTAATATAATTAAAATGATTAATTATCACCATGTTAATTATTATTGAAAAATATTATTAAAGGATATAAAATACATAAAATTTGTAAATTTTTATTTCTTATCAATAAAATTATGTAATTATAATTTATTGATAATGAAACTTAATTATCATATTCTCCACGAGTAAATTTATAATTTTTAAAATGAATAAAAAATATTATAAAGTTTCAATAATTATGTAAGTGTCATTATATTATTGTAAGTAATTATTATCAAATTAATATAATGCTAATAGATTAATTAAAATATATAATTATCATAATTGTGTTCAACACTATAGCAATAATTAGTAAACACTATTATCGTTATTCAAATTACTCAACCACAACTACTCGAGCCAAATGATATTCTTATTTATTCTGAATCTCACAATAAATTAAATTTATAAATTTAATAAATAAAACATAATTAGGTTAAATAGAAAACAACACAAATAAATATAGTAACAAACTACAATCAATAAAAGAAACTCATTTTGTTACCAAACATTTTAAAAGGGTATTCAAAATTTGACAGCATCCAGAGATCTATGATTAACTGTCATAAAACCACAACAATTAGAAAATACTATTATCATTGTTCAAATTACTCAACCACAATACCCTAAGCCAAATAACAAATTTTTTTAATTTCTTGATTTTACTACAATTAAACTTAAAATTTATAATATTTAAATGTAAAAAAATATAAATTAAG